TATGATAGGATAATGTATAGTGAGTGTCAATGGAAACCATTAAAATACGTAATTTCCACATTTTCTGCTCCACGTTATAGTTCTCGTTTTCTTTATGTTACAACACAGTCTATCCACGTAAAAATATTTTTCGTACGTATACAGGGTGGGTTATTTTAAATAACGTAATAATATTTCTCAAAAATTAAAGCTTTGAAAATCGAAAAATGGTTCCTTCAAAAAGTTTGTGATTTCGAGAGGGACATCTTTTTATATACTTGGCGTCGCGACGCTACCACGTCGCTTGATATAAAATTTAACGATAACAACATCTAATATAATATAAATATGTAAATTAAATGTGATATGATTTTAGATAGAAATATTTAAAAAAATGCAAGATCATGTTTTTATAATTAGTATCTTTCCTTATAAAAGCGCAATTAATAAATATTTTTTATTAATATTTTTTAAAAATATTACTTAATTGTATTATATATATTATATACTTATTTCAAATCCAAAAGAGAGCAGTGTGTAATAATATCATTTAAAACTCATTATTCTTAAAGGACACCACACGTTTTAAATGTAAAAGTGGCTTTGGTCTAATTAGCTGAAATTGAAATATTTGTAATTTAGACAGTGCTGATTAAAAGTCTTCATGAACATAGAGTCCAAATATCAAAGCAATACATGCCAAGATAACAAAGTGAATGTCATTGAAAACCATTAAAATACGAGATTTCCATATTTCCTGCTCCATGTTATAGTTCTCGTTTTCTTTATGTTACAACACAGTCTAAACACGTATAAATATTTTTTGTACGTATATAAAGTGACTTATTTTAAATGACGTAATAATATTTCTCAAAAATTAAAGCTTTGAAAATCGAAAAATGGTTCCTTCAAAAAGTTTGTGATTTCGAGAGGGACATAAGTACCATTTGTTTGATCTTGGATGAAAGTCATGAGGATATTTCAAGGTTATCTTCATTTTCTTACATGAAACTACCCGAATTTGTTGATATAAAGTGATTCTTCACAATATTCGGTTTAAGAAGATATGATAGTAAGATAAGGAAAAATTGTTAAAGATTGCAATAATATACTCACTTTAAGCTATTCTATAATTTATAGTTTTAACTTTTAAATTCCTTATCCGTGAAGACTTTTGAGCAGTATTATATAAACTACAACATATTTCAATTTCTGCCAATTTGACCGAAGCCACTTTTATATTTAAAATGTGCGGAGTTCTTTGAAAATAAATATAATATTAATGATAAACTATTTAGAAAAAAAACCACATTTCTTTCTTTCTCTTTCTTTCTTTTTTTTAACTATTTTGTAGACAAAAGCTCAATTAATTAATAAAAATGTAAAAATATTGGAAAGATGTACAAATGTGCATGAAACACGATAGTTTCTTCAATAAAAATTTTATATTTATCAATAAATTTCTAATTAATACGTATTTTAAAGGGAACAACCAGTATATTTCTCTGTAGGATTGACCTATAAATTACGACTGCACGAGCTAGGATATAGGGCGTTAAAATACAACGCTGCAAAGTATCAAATATGCAATTTGTCATCAAGAGAAATTTTCGTTCGTAGAGTTTTTCTCTATGAGAAGTAAACATGTGTTATATTTCCGTCAGCGTCGAAATTGATCGCTTGATTATACACTGTTTTGCGAGGGAAAATGTAAATTTCCAAGTGATTCGATCTCAAGGTGATACGTGACACGGTGATATATTATGTTATATTTATATTAAATTAAACAATTTATATTAAAATTTAAGGTAGTATAATGAAACTATAGCATAATTCAATTAGCTGATCAAAAGAAGAAGATAAGCGGATCAATTCTTTTTTGCATTGGTAAACGCATCGCGACGAAATTCATTTTATGATTGACCGTTAAATGTATGCAGTCTTCGTTGGTCAGACATCTATAAGACTTCCAACAGTCCGACATGCTTGTTGTTTCTGGTTTTATCCGTGAATAATGTGTTAGCAGAGCGATTATAATTGTTCAATAATAACAGCAATAGGCTCAGGGTGAGAACAAATTATACTTATTCACTTTCCGTAAGAACGTATCTTTTTTCTAATGCGATATACATACTGATACATCAAATGTGTTTTATATACATTTAAATATACATGATTTAAAAAAATATATATTAATGGAAACAAAGTCTTAAATTTAATATTTTTGGTAGCAAATAGTAAAAGCTAATATAATTAAAAAATTATTGGGAGATATAAAATATTAACAAATATAAGAATTTAAACAACAAGTACATAGTAAAATGACTTTTAGTGAAGAATAATATGTTTGATAGTACCAATTTAAACATGCTGACTTGTGTTGATATTTAGCACAACTTAGACGAGTGCTTTTTAGCAGTGTACACAATGGAATGAAACAGATGCGTCACCAAAAAGAAGCGTTTGCGACTGCGCGATTGTGGCATAAAAATGTCTTCTCATAAAGATACTTTTCTGCGAGAAAATAACTTCTATTAAATTGCTTTTAATGTAAAATTGATCGTTTATTCATGAATTTTCATCTAAGAAAATTTCTTAAATTATGTAATTACATAATTGTCCAATTTTCTACGCAATTTAAAGTAGTTACTATGCGTTATTCACAATTTTCTATTTATCGAATTAAGAAAATTACTGAAAATAACATTTATACTATAGAAAAAAGTCGTGCATTAAGCGATTGAAAAATCGAAAAGGGAAATGGGTGAATATTCGTGTACTGCTTTTCCGTCAAATTTGTGTCGACAGTCATAGAGAGATGATCTGCCTCGAGACTCAACATTTTAACATCAACCGAATTCTGTTGCTTATCATTGGCTTATGGCCCTATCAGCGATCGCCTGTAGTTAAACTTCAATTAATTTTATTTTATGGTATTCTGATGACTTTTATTATATTTCAGGTACGTCATAATTTCTTTGTTGTATTTTATTAGGAATGTGCACATACTATACTGACATATAAGAATCAATGAATTATTTTAATTTTATTGCATATACGACTTAAATATAATTATATAACATAGTAATTGTTTTCTGTATAATTATTGCTTTTACAATTACATATAATTATTAATTATATATTTCTTTTATTAAATTAATGTAATAGATTAACGAAAAATTAAGAATTTATAAACTAATAAACAAATAACAAAGTTTCAATATAGTATATAACATTAATATTTACAGTTAACAACATTTATAACATCGGAATGTAATCTGGACATTATCTATAAAGTTTTATCTTCGGCATTTTTTTATGTTTGTTCCGCGATCAAATATAATTCATTTTGGATTAACGCCGATATTGTAAGGATGAAAACTATTAAACATTACTGATAAATATATTTTTGAATGCAGTATATATCGGCTTCCGTATTTGTTACTTTCGATCAATATATTCGTTCATTTTTTTCTTAGCATAACCTTCACTTTCTATTCTTTACTCATTATAATATAAAACTAAAGAAAAAGATAAAGTAGACTAACTAGTTCAAATTCGATTCAAGAAAAAATACGGAAGATCAATAATAATAATTTTCGAATGTTGCAAAAAAAATGGTATTCAATATTGTTAACACGATAGTTAAGACGTTCGCTGCAGCAACTTCAAGATGTGTGTAATTGTAATGAGATAACAGACAAAAATGAAATGGCTATCATAAAAAAGTACGGAAGCAAAGCAAAACGGTAGTTAAACTTCAATTAATTTTATTTTATGGTATTCTGATGACTTTTATTATATTTCAGGTACGTCAGAATTTCTTTGTTGTATTTTATTAGGAATGTGCACATACTATACTGACATATAAGAATCAATGAATTATTTTAATTTTATTGCATATACGACTTAAATATAATTATATAACATAGTAATTGTTTTCTGTATAATTATTGCTTTTACAATTACATATAATTATTAATTATATATTTCTTTTATTAAATTAATGTAATAGATTAACGAAAAATTAAGAATTTATAAACTAATAAACAAATAACAAAGTTTCAATATAGTATATAACATTAATATTTACAGTTAACAACATTTATAACATCGGAATGTAATCTGGACATTATCTATAAAGTTTTATCTTCGGCATTTTTTTATGTTTGTTCCGCGATCAAATATAATTCATTTTGGATTAACGCCGATATTGTAAGGATGAAAACTATTAAACATTACTGATAAATATATTTTTGAATGCAGTATATATCGGCTTCCGTATTTGTTACTTTCGATCAATATATTCGTTCATTTTTTTCTTAGCATAACCTTCACTTTCTATTCTTTACTCATTATAATATAAAACTAAAGAAAAAGATAAAGTAGACTAACTAGTTCAAATTCGATTCAAGAAAAAATACGGAAGATCAATAATAATAATTTTCGAATGTTGCAAAAAAAATGGTATTCAATATTGTTAACACGATAGTTAAGACGTTCGCTGCAGCAACTTCAAGATGTGTGTAATTGTAATGAGATAACAAACAAAAATGAAATCGCTATCATAAAAAAGTACGGAAGCAAAGCAAAACGTATTACGATTACACTTACATGTAAGATAATGTTTCTCGATTTTTATTTTACATTTTAATATTTTTTTACATTTAGATAATTAAATTTCAATTGTAATATAATTTTAAAAATTAAATAATAATATATCTATTGATTTAAATGATTATTTTGAAATCTTTTTTAGTTTTTGGCGTATGCTATCAATTTATTTTTATTTTGCTATATATTTGGCCGTACATTCGTCACATTATGGTTCTCACAAACAAATCTTGATTACATTCTACGGTGCATATTCTGACAGAATATTTCATTGATGAAGAAAAATATTCCTATTTAATTACGCTGCATAGACATGCAGCAAATTGCATAGGCATATTGGCAATGATAGCGACAGGAACTGTGAGACCAAAACATTTTTGTCTTAAACTTATAGATTTTAAGATATTTCAGTGGGTACATTAAAATGGCTTACCCTGTATAGTTTATTTTTTCTTAATATATTCTCTTTCTATTTCTTACTCATTATAATATGAGATTAAAGAAAAATATAAAGTAGACAAACTAGCTCAAATACGATCAAGAAAAAATACGGAGGCCCAATTATAATAATTTTTGAATGTTGTAAAAAAAAATGGCATACAATATTGTTAACATGGTAGTTAAGGAATTCGCTGCAGCAACTTCAAAATGTGTGTAATGAGATAACAGACAAAAATGAAATGGCTATCATAGAAAAGTATGGAAGCAAAGCAAAACGTATTACGATTGCACTTACATGTAAGATAACTTCTTTTTTTATATTCCAATACATTTTTACATTCAAATAATTAAATTTCAATTCTATAATATAATTTAAAAAATTAAGTAATAATATATTTGTTGACTGATATGATTATTTTAAAATCTTTCTTAGTTCTTGGCATATTCAGTCAATTTATTTTTATTTTGATATATATATGGCCGTACATTCGTCACATTATGCTTTTCACAAACAAATCTTGTTCACATTCTTCGCCGTATATAGTGACAGAATATTTTATTGATCAAGAAAAATATTCCTATTTAATTATGCTGCATAGACATGCAGCGGGTTTGATCGGCACAATAGCACTGATAGCGACAGGAACTATGTTTATAACATATTTTCAACATACTTGTGCAATGTTTAGTATCGCCTGGTAAGTATACAAAGTAGAGAAGTGCGTATAATAATTTAAATAATATGCTCAAACATACTATATAGTTATAATAACAAAATTTTTTACAGTTACCGTATCAAGCAGGCAATTGATATTTTACAAAAATGTGGTTTCAAAAATGAGCAAAAGAGTTGTAAGGAGATAATTCGTGCTGTAAACATTCATTGTAACGCAATGAAGTTAGTATTTTTGTTATATTAATAACAAATATTTAATACATATGATAATATTGTATAAACTTTCTCATATTTAAAGGCTTTGCAATTTTTTAATATCCAATTTTGAGGGATCGTTTTTTTGCTTGATAGCGGCTGGCATGGTTTGTTTGTGCTGTAATCTTCTTCGGGTAAATATTGTCTACAAATTCCTGCATGAACAGTGCGCCACTTTGTGAAATTAAAATTAGTCAACAAACCCACATTGCTAGAGACAAATATCGAAATAATTTTAATCTACTCACATTTTATAATATGCATAGTACAGTGTCATGTGTAGAAAATCGATGATAAGCACGTAATATGTGTCTCATAATTTTCAGGTTGTGTCATTTACCGATAACATTGAGCAACTTATATTATCTCTACTTACTTTAATTAGCCTCTACGTGTACTTGTTTTTATCCAATCATACTGCACAAGATATTACGGATCACAATGAATATGTGTTTGCTACAGTGTAAGAAAAATTTCAATTTCATATACTTGTCACGTTCCGCAGCTTCTAAATCCCACAAATATTTTTTTTTCTCAATATTTTTTACATCCAACACTTATATGTAACCTATAATAAAGCGCGAATCTGAGAGAAAAAATGTATGAGTTGTTTATGCGAGCAAAATAGACTTATACAAAAACTGCCATAAAACAGGAGAGATGTAACAAGGATAGATATAAAAGCGTTCTTTTAAGCAGACTGCCTCTATTTACTATACTAAATCATATAGGAATTATGTAAATTACGCCTAAAAAAATTGAGATCAATCTAATTATGACAAATGAGTAACGTTATTATAAATTTTTCAAAAAGGGTCATTTATTGTGATCCATACCTATATTTCTGATTCAAAATATTATAAATTATATAATGCATATATATATACATGTATATAATATATTAGTTAAATATATATATTTAACTAATACATAAAACGCGACCTTGAATAAACATTGCATTCAGAGAATCAATTAATATGCATTATTAGAAAACTTTCTTTTGAAAGACTATCAAAGAAATGCGTCAAAGAAAAGATTCTTTCTTAGAATAATTTGTAACCTTTAAAGAATTTATTCCTAAAACTCCAAAATTTGACATTGACCTCACTTTTTAATTTTAAAAATATATAAAGATGAAAACATCCATTGCGAGAGACCGGACACTCTTACACTCTTACCCTCTTATACTTACTTACGCTAATTTGCACTTACACTTACGCTATTATTAAAGGCGTCATTATTAGGAGTATTAGGAGACAGAAAATAAGAAGATTTGGATTAATTTTTGTCGAAATAAAGAGTTTAAATTTATACCTTTAACGTCGGTATAATTTCTCAACCTTATCCACATCAGTGTAGGACCAAGCTCGCAGCAGTTAATTTTCCTGGGATTTTCCCCCTTAACTGCAGGAAGAATCCGATACTTAAACGTCCCGCAAAAAGTTTAACGAAACAATTGAGACTTCTTGTTTCACTGAATCAATCGGAATTACCAGGACGTGACATACGAGTGTATTTGTTTTGCAGTTACTTATATTAACATAAGTCAAAATTACAGATTTTTGATAAAGTTAATATGCTTAAAAAAAACAAAAAAAACCAATATGCATGTATATATATGTGTGTGTGTATGCGCGCGCGCGTGATAAAAAGAAAAAAAAATTATTTAAGAATTTTATTTAATTAGAATTTTTTTCCATTTATTATTTCGTAGATATAATGTCTGTTGGTACACGGCTCCAATACGTATACAAAAAATGATACTCTTTCTGCTGCAAAGAGGTACTATGAGTTTCAATCTGATTCTCGGTGGAGTATTTGTAGGATCCATGCAAAGTGCCGCTTCGGTGAGAAATATATGCAAATATTGTATATCACACATACACAATATTTTATAAATTCTACAATAACGTATAAGTAATAAGAAAACAAAACAAAAAAATACACGTTACATGCTTCATTACAGCTGACGAGCGCTTCTATATCATACTTCACCGTCCTTTATTCTACCCGGCAAAATTAAAAGATGGTATTAAGTCGATTGATCGGACGGACATGTATCGATTGTCCTCGAGGTTCAGATATAGCATTATCATTACCCTTATAGAAAAAACAAAATCTCTGTTTAATAAAAAATAAATTATTGTTACATTTTATATTTTAATGTATAAGGGTTATAATTACAAAGTCTAACGATAACAATACTGAAGATAGTGTAAATGTGTAAAACAAATGTGATATAATTATAGAAAAATTATATAAAATGCAGGATAATGTCTTTACAATTAATATCTCTTGTTAGCAAAAATTAAAAGATGTATTTTATTTTTAATATTACTTAATTGTATTGTATACATTGCCAAAATATTACAAGTCCAAAAAAAGCAATTTATAAGAATATCAATTAAAAAATATCTTTTTTCTAAAGGACCGCATCATTTTAAATATAAATGGCTTTAATCTACTTGGGTAAAATTAAAATATGTTGTAGTTGATGGTGCTTATTGGTTACGAAGTGCGGATCAAAAGTCATCCAAAATAAAAAGTTTAAAAATTAACACTAATAATGATAGGGATAGCTTTTAGTAAGTGAAAATTAAGAAAGTTAAAAAAGTTATTAACAAATATATAATATCAAAAAACAGAAGAATTTAAACAAACAATATATACTAAAATAACTTACAGTGAAGAAAGACATGCTTTGGTAGTACCACTTTAAACACGATGACATGTGCTGATATTCAGCACACTTATATACGAGTGCTTTCCAACAATGTATACAATAGAATGACACAGATGTGTTACCGAAAAGTAGCGTTTGCGGCTGCGCGATTGTTGCATAAAAATGTCTTCTCATGAATACTTTTCTGCAAAAAAAACAACTTCTGTTAAATTGCTTTTAATGTAAAATTGATCGTTTATTCATGAATTTTTACCTAAGAAAAGTTCTTAAATTATGCAATTACGTAATGGTCCAATTTTCCACACAATTTAAAGTAGTTACTATGCGTTATTAACAATTTTCTATTTATCGAATTAAGAAAATTTAGCGGTCGATAAATCAAGAGGGGAATAAATGAATATTCGTGTACTGCTTTTCTGTCAAACTTGTGTCGACAGTCACAGAAAGATGATTTGCCTCGAGATTAAACATTTTAACATCAACCGAATTCTGTTGCTTATCATTGGCTTATGGCCCTATCAGCGATCGCCTCTAGTTGAATTTCAAGTATATTTATTGTATGGCACTCTGATGACTTTTATCATATTTCAGGTACATCAGTATTTCTCTGTTGTATTTTATTACGGAATCGGGCGTATTATGCTGATGTATAAGAATCAAAGCATTATTTTAATTTTGTCTCGCATGTAATACTTAAATATAATTATAGAGAATAATAATTGTTTTCTGTAATTGTTGCTGTTTCAATTATATATAATTATTAATTGTGTTTCTTTTCTGCTAAATTATTGTATGTAACAGATTAACGAAAAATTGAGAATTTATGGACTGATAACACTGGTCGACAAAATGAAACTTTTATTTTATTTTAAGTTTTATCAAGTCATTTCTGGTAGATTTTTTAGCGCTTATTACAAATCTGGCCATAAAAATGGTGTATCACGTCAAGTTTTTGAGAAAACCTTAGTCAAAGTTGCTAAAATAGCGTTATTGATACTTTTGCGTAAGTTATATCTTTCGATGGGGACGTGCTCCAGAAGACAGCGATAGCTCAAAATGAAAGTCAAGATTTATACTTTATGATAAAAATGTTAAAAGTCCCAAAAGGCAAGAAAGGCTTTCCTGAAAAAAAATGGTTGAAACATAAAAAACATCTATCACAGTGTCCCCGAATTCTGTTGCTTATCATTGGCTTATGGCCTTATCAGCGATCCCCACTAATTGAATTTCAATTAATTTTACTTTACGGTATTCTGATGACTTTTATCCTATTCCAGGTATTTCCATTGTATTTATTTCGAAATCGCACGTATTATACTGACGCATAAAAATCAATGCATTATTTTAATTTTGTTGCACGTAGAATTAAATATAATCATATCATAATAATTGTTTTGTGTATAATTATTACTGTGTAACGACAGGGTTGTCACTATATATAATAATGTAAATAGTGTAAATATGTTTCAAATATATATATATAACCACGCATGCCTCGCTTGCTCATCCCGCTATACCTATCCTACTTGCCCGTCCGCTACGCACGCTATCTCGCTCACACGCACGCCGCTTGTGCTATCTTGCTCGCACGTACGCCGTTCGTGCTATCTCGCTCGCGCATGCGCCGTTCGTGCTATCTCGCTTGCCCCACGAAGAACCGACTCCCACCAGCGGACCGACAACGTATAGTGGGGACGCCGGCCGGGTGTATAAGCCCGGCCGGCCGAGGCATCGAGACCAGTGATGCCAGAAACCAGTGTTGTTGTTCGGGCCGGGATTTTTCGCGCATGCGTGGCAAACGCGGTATCAGTACAGTGCTTAGTTGAATAAAAAGGAGTACCATTAATTGCGCGGGACCCGTTTCTGGCATTTCTGATCGAGACCAGATCCTGTCCCGACACCCAGCTCCTGACACCGATCTACCTACTACCTCTTGGGGCTAAGGCTTTCTTAGCTCTGCCGGGTTTCTCTGGTTCTCGCTACATTACGGGCCAAGGTTCCTCTTGGCCCTACTGGGTTTCTCCGGTTCCTCGTACCAGCCCGGGCTGAGGTTTTCTCAGCCCCGCCGGGTTTCTCCGGTTTCCATTGCAGGCAGAGCTCGACGTGACACTCGAGCCTGCCGGCAATACCCAGCCGCCTAGCCTAACCGTAGTCATAAGTGCATGAAGATACCGCGCCGTAATTATAAGCCTGCTAGTAATAAGTCCGGTTAATTGTAAGTCCGCGCCTGCGAAGCGCGCCGTAATTATAAGTCTGCTAGTAATAAGTCCGGTTAATTATAAGTCCGCGCCTGCGAATCGCGCCGTAATCATAAACCGCTAGGAATAAGCCCGACCGGGATAACCGCGTCGCGATCAACTCGCGTGTAAATAACGTCACCGTCGATACTAAGCTAATGCGCATGTAAATAAAGTCGTATTAAGTCGAATCCGCTTCGCGCTGCACGTCGCTTCACGCCGATCGCTTCGCGCTTGCACTTTCCGCTGCGCTCGCGTCCTAGCGCCAGTGATGCCAGAATGGCCACGCTAGCAACACGCAACCGTAGTGGAGGGGATGAGCGCAAACCGCGTACGTGTGAGCTTGGCGCTTCGGCTGACTTCGGATAGCAGAAGAGGACAGATATACTGTTTTCTGTCTCTCTCCTTCTTATCGAGCCGGCAAAAAGACCGGGCGGTACACGTCACACGTCGCTTGGTCGCTTCTCGAT